GCTGGGTAAGGCTAGACTAGAGGCTTGTGCAGGTTTCCTGGTAGGAGGAGTCAGGGCCTGCCCCCTGCTGGGTGGAGCTTGGTCCTGGCCCTCTGGTGGGCAGGGCCATGTCTAGGGGCATGTCTTGAGGCATTTGTTGCTCAGAAAGTCTGCTGTTGGGTGGGGTTACATTCCCACCCAGTAGGTTGTTTGTCCTGAGGCTTCCCAGCACTTAAGCCTATAGGCTGTTTGGTGGGGCTGGGTGTTACTGCTAATGACCCAAGCAAGATGTCAGCTTCCAGGAAAGCTCATGTAGATGAACACTCTCTGAATGTCCACCACCAGCTTTTGGGTCCACAGGGTGAGTCACAGCTGCCTGCTTCCGCCACCTTCCAAAGAGACCTTCTAAAACCAGTTGGCAGGTCAAGCCTAAGTTCCTATGAAATCACTGCCTCTGCCTTTGGTCCCAGCACATGCGAGATTCTGTGTGCACTTCCCAAGAGAGTGAAGTCTCTGTTTCCCCTAGTCCCTTGGAGCTTCTGCAGTTAAGCCCCAGTGGCCTTCAAAACCAGATGTTCTGGGGTCTTCTCCAACCTATACTGGAACCCCAGGCTGGGGAGCCTTACATGGGACTCAGAACTCTTACTCTTGTAGGAGGACCTCTGGTTTGTGGGTCACCCACCCAGGTATGGGACCTGATTATATCATGAGCACACCTTCTCCCACTATCCCACTGTGGTTCCCTCTTTATGTTTCCAGTTGAAGAAGATCTTTTTTGCTAGGTTCCAGTCTTTTTTCTCAATGTTTGTTTAGCAGTCAGTTGTGGTTTTTTTGTTATCTTGAGGAGACGAGCTTATGGTCCTACTACTCCACCATCTTGACCAGAATTCCCAATATAGATGCTTTTTTAAGCCATAAAACTGACTAAGATTATGTGAGGAGTGCATATAAACAGAAAAAAGAAGAGATCAAAGAGGACTGTGTCCTGGCACCAGTGCCATGCCTATCCTTATTAGAGCTTAAGGTAAGAATAAAAATTAGTAATATTGATTCTGGTTTTATTTATAATTACAAATTTTGTTTACCATGGACTTTTTATGTAAATTTTTTAAAAATATTGAAATAATTTTAGCTTTTTTGCTACGCTTTTTGGCACTCTTTAAATTTTGGCCCAAGATGAGTCAGTCATTTATATCACCATAGTCTCAACCTTGCCTATAAATAAATGAGATCATAAAGTTCATTCTTTTTAAGATAGGAAACAAAGAAGACCATGTATTTGCAAGATGGCCAAATGATATCTGTATTCTAAAAGAAATGATACAGTAAAGAGAAAAATGATGGTGTAAGACAGAGAAATGGGGAGAGCACCTTGAGAAATGTCCTTGAGCAATTATCAGGAATGTGATCCTGTGAACAGCTGTTAGTATTGGCCTTAGCTAGTGACATGGGCTGCGAATGCATTTGGAACAGGAAAAAAGATGGAATATATGGGAGCAGAAGTGGGAAATGATTTGATATAGCAGTACAAGCTAATCTGTTATCCTCTGATTGCTTCTATTTTCTCTGTGAAATAGAAAGTTGGGAGTGTGGATTGTGGAGGAAGTGTCAAAGGAAAAGTAGAAATGATAGAGAAAAAAATGCGAAATAATTATGTTGGCCATGAGGGAAATGGAAGAAATAATGGGGTAGGGAAGTCTATGTTATGTTCAGCTCCATGGGTGTAGCCACAGAGAAAGTGTCCAAGGAATATCCCATAAAAAATCAAAATTCTGTTTCAGAGCATGGGATAGATCTCTCCACTGCATTACTCTCAAATAGAAATAAAACAAGATTATACCTATATTTCTATACTATACCTATATTTCTACTTTTGAAAAGTCCCCCTTTTCCCAGTAAATGCTAACATCTGCCAAGATGCAGCTAACATAGTTGTGAAACTTACTTCAATTCCCAGGTAGAATTAAGTTTCCTTCCAAAGCAGCTTTATTATCGTGTTGTAGTCCTTTCAAAATTGGTATTTGTCGCATTAAATAAAATTATTTAAAAATGACTAATCAACTCTGTCATTCTCTCTGACTTATTGAGCAAAACAAATTTATAATAGGAATGAGTTTTATTTATTGATGCTGTTGAATAAACTAGTGAAGAATGGGACACACTCATTTCTGTTTAGAATATGTAAAAGCTGGAGTGGTAGATGACCTTTGCAAGTTTCTGGCAGCCATATGATTTTGCATTTCTATTTTGTAGAAAAGTATTCAGAGTAGATTTCAAACTGTTTTTGAAATGGGTTGATAGCTCATTTTGTGGATGGTTTTGAATGTTGCTCCAGCAGGCAGAATACATTAGCATTCAGCTTAGAAAGGAAGTGGCAGCACATCTATTTCTGTAATTTCAATGCGAGTAATCAGTTCATTGGGGGGAATAACAGGCTAAGACTTCAAACAAACTTAACTCAAACTGCCTAGCCTCCTGTTTAGTTGAAAAATTCCCTAACCATGGTGGGTTGGTTCCTGCTTAGAGATTCTGCTCTGAAAAATAAGTACTTTGCTAATTTTTGCATTGAGTGCTGTTGCATAACCCATCTCAAGGCCAAATTCAGAGGCAGGTTTGCTTTATAGAGATAGAAAGGAGAAACATTAAATGTCCTTTATACAACTACTGTCTTCTCCATTTGTGAAAAAAGCTACCTGTGTCTGCCTGTCATCTGTTGTTTACATCCGTTGAATGACCCACACTGGGATCCAAAATTTTTCACCCACATACATTTTACTCATTTTTTTCCAGAAACCACTATAGCTTTATTCTCCAGAGATCTGAACCACAATCAGTTCCCTTAAAAGCCTATTTGTATTGCTCTCTTGCTCAGATACAGATATAAAACACTATAATACATCTTTTTTTAACCCAAAGGCAAACATTTGCAGCATGTGTGGTTTGATTAATACCAGATTCTGACTGAGGAATCTGTGGAGAAGAATATCACATAATCAGATCTCTCTTGCTTAACTTTTCAATAATAAACATATCCATATTATTTTTAGTATGATTCTGAAAACTTTCATGTTTTTCTACCTGCTCAGAGGCCATGTTCCTAATTAGGAAATTTTTAAATCCTTATTCTGGTTATTGTTATGTTCACTGCAGATAGTATAAAGGGAAGGCTTACAAAAAATCTGATAATTATTCTATAAAAGCTAAATTATTTTAATATTTCTATTCACAAACATAAAAGTAATTTAAATGCATTATTTCCAATACCTAATTAATTTTGTAATAAAAATACTGCAGAAGGAAAAAACAAATTATGCTTATTTGGAGGTATGTTTATCTATTTTTTTATTCACTATCATATTTGTAGGAAGTGAATCTCTACTCAAACTTTTTGTCTCCCAAATGTTCATGGATTTAAGTAGGAAGCAAAGATTTGCTAATTTTTTTAGGTTATTGTTAGTCTCTTCTAATTTTCCAGTAAAATACAAATATATAGAATTTTAATTTATTGGAAATAATGACCAAAACCTTATTAGAATAACAGTAAGAACTCCTTTGTCTTTAGGAAGAACAAATAATTGATGGAAGATCTACCTGGGGAGCATAGGCTATAAAAGTCTTTAAGTTCTTACTTTGAAAAATTTGAGTCTCTCATTTTAGGAATAATACTTAGACACTGATTATAGTGAGTATGTGTTTTTGCAAAGAAGTAATAGGTCTGATTTTTGAGAAATATGAAAAAGAGATATCAGCAGTAAGTTATCCTCCAGAGACATTCGGTAAGCATCAATAAGCATTCCACTCTAGCTGACTGAAATTTGCAAATATTAGAGGCATGTACTATTTCATATTGTGGTGAAGTTAAAAACACCAGTAAAATGAGAAACAGGCAAAGGAAGAGAACAGGCAGGAGGAGGAGCAAAGCAATTGAAAAATCTGCAACCTGAAGAATTAATTCCTGAGTAATCAAGATTTGTCTGTACTCTACTGTTAGGAATGGATTTTAGTGCTTATTCAGTTCAAACCAGAACTCTTACTTTTTGTGTCACTAATCTGAAGAGTCAAGTACCAATTTCTTTATACCATTACTGGTATGTATAACATATAACTGTTTAGCTCATAAAACTAGTATATAATATAATGTCACAGGGAGAATCTGAATAAACTTTAAGAAGTTCACACAGAAATGAATTTTTGGTGTCCTTTGAGCACTCAGGTATCTGTACTTAGTCCAGATACATTGCTCCAGAATGTCGTGATAAGTAAAGTTATTTATTTTAATCCTGAGATAGTAAGTTGAGTAAAAATTGTGTGTGCATGTGAATTTTCCAATGATGGATCTCATTAGACATTTATATGCCTTTTGCTCACATTGCTAAGTTATTTTATAAAGGCATAAGATATGTCATGAATGAACTGTACTTTCACAAAGCTAGATATATACCACTCAAAGTTTGGCTAGTTTGTAAATACAGTTAGTTCACTCTTGAACAACATAGAAGTTAGGGGCACTGACCCACCACACTCAAAATCTTTGTACAATTTATATTCAACCCTCTGTATCTTTGGTTCCTCCTCATCTGCAGTACAGCATCTGAGGATTCAACCAACCCAGGATCCTGTAGTACCATAGTCTTTACTACTGAAATAAATTTGCATATATTGGACCTGGATAGTTCAAACCTATGGTTTCTCAGGGGTTAACTATAGTTGGGTTTTTCATTAAATCCCCAAACTCCTCAATAAAAGAAAATGCCTCAATATATTTTCACCAACATGTATATACATATGTATGTATGTATGTGTGTGCATCTACACATTCACACATGTATTTATTTATATCCATCCAATCTAAAATGGATCTAATTTACTGATTTCTCTGTCAAATTACCTAATATATTATTGCTGGGCCTATAAACTTTCTTCCCTTTTTTATTTTGTTTTATTGATTCTTTCATAATCAATCAGTAATTTTTTCACCGTAGATATGTCTTATGCTCTATTTAGACCAAGCCCAAACCTCCTAGTTACTTTAGTCTGTAATTTCCTATTGCTGAAAAATTACGGGACAAGTGAAACTCCAAATCCAGCAGGCTGCATTTTATCAGTGGATCCCATATTGGATGTTTTGCTGGTTTAGATGGCAGACTTATTCTAAAGTTCCCACTAATATTATGTAATTCCCATATATATTCCCATGAATATTATGTAATTGAATTTCAATCAAAGTGGTTGATAGAACATCAGATAGGACTAAGGCTGTCACATACTTAAATGTATAAAGCATTTTATTTATTAAAAACCATTTGCACTGATGAATGAGTTTACAAATATTTTGAAACTTTAATGTTCAGAATGTAGTGTTCTAGATCAATTTTAAAGCCACAAGCCATTCTGAGCATGCCCCATGCCCAAGATCAGGTCAACAAAATAGAAGTATGGTCATTAGGTCATATAACTCCCCATTTTAGGCAAAAAGTAAATATCTAACTGACTAAACAAACTAGGTAAGAAGGAAGAGCACTTAATTTTGTAGATGCTTTTACAAGTCTGAGACAGACTTCCCAAAAGTCCACCATTGTCCATCATCTAAAGTTTAGAAATGTGTATAATTTGAAATGAAATTAAATGCTCAGATAAGAATATATGTCACTTTTAGGAATCTCCTCACCAACTAAATCACAAGCAGACCTCTAGCATCTGCTTGAGATTTATGCCTGAGTCCCAAGTTGTAAATATACATATATATATATGTATATCTACACACCCATATATATCTATACACATGGGTGTATATATGTATATGTAGCTGAATATATCTATATGTGTATGCATACACATATTTAATATTGATACAAATATAAAACCTCAAAATAACTTTCATGTTTGCATTAAATTCTCTGGGTTAGAAACTTTGAATGTCACTCAGTATCTTCCTCCTTACCCACAATTAGAATATCAAATAACTCAGGACATTAATACATGTCTTATGGTTTTAAGAACTGGAACTCTGTAAAATACTAATCATGGAAATCTACTTTTTACATTACAGAAATTGTTACAGATACTAACAGATTTAGAAGCTTTATTTCCATTAAGAATAGAACATAAAATTTTCAAAAAAAATAAAACTAATTGACAAACAAGGCTTTAAGAAAAAGGAGTTATTAAATTAGAAATATTCTTCTCTCTTTTTTCCATTTATAGTTACCTTGACCAATACCAACTCTGGCTTTCCTGCTCCCAAGCCATAAAGGTATGGATTTTTTTTGTCTATCTGTTTATCTATCATTCTCTATCTCTTGAGATAATATTTATACATAACTCTGTCTTTAATAGCATATTATGAAATGTATCAAAATGGGACAAGTAGTTGAATAATTTATATTTACAATTACTGTGTTCCTCAAGCTGTTCAAAAAGAGGTGCATATTTGTAATAACAAACTTCTGCATTCTCTATAAATGTTAAGTCATTAAAATACCTCCTAGTCAGTGAGAGTTGGCATGAGGTAAGAGCAAAGAAATGTGTTTGAAGAGACACATTTTAAGTTCTTGAATAACGGACTAAATACATACGATAATATTCATGATTCACTGTATATTTTGCTTCTATCCATAATAGACTGTATATGTGCATACAATTTATTTCAAGAAATGATTTGAAAATAGAATAGAATGTTGAAAAATATTGGTCAGTTATTCATTACATAATTTACCTAAATACTTGCTCTCTACTGCCAAATTAAAGAAAAATAAAGAGCTAGTATGTCAGTAAGTTACCGTATATTTTATTGTTGAATTTAAGACATACACAGAGCTAGCCTCAGGCTCTCCTGATTTTTAGTGACGCCAAGAGTTCTTTAAGGAATAATAAAATGTACTCTATTCTCAGTGTACTCAGGGTTATTATTCACAGTACTGGTTATACAATACACTCTGCTTTTATGGTTTTCTTTATATTGGCTCCTCCTGTGCTTTAGAATTCTTTTTTCCACATCTATTTCACTATTTGTTTTCTGTCCCAGAAAGCCTGTAGTTGTTCTGCATGAGATAAGAGGGGAATGTTTTTAAACCTCCTTTGACTACCAGGAAAAGCAGAAAGCAAGCAATTTTAAAGGAAAAAAAAATCTGTATTTACTCATTGCTTTAAATGTGTATGAAAGAGTTTAAGAGACTCTGCACTCAAAGAGTAAATGATTTTTTTTCTGTATCACTCATCAAAAATACTAAATGTTCAAATCTGTGTCCAGTCTTTCTGAGAAACAGGTGGGTAGCTACAAAAGTAGCCAAAAAGATATGTACCACCTTCTAAGGAATTATTTTAAGGTAGGAATTCAGAAATGTTTTAAGATACTTGAAGTGAAGAAATGAACATATATTAAACAATAAAAACTACCAATTATTAAGCATAATATACCATGAACTCTGCGGATCTTGTGTCAACTATGATTCTTTAACGCTTCAGCTAAGACTCAAATATTCAAAAGTTTGGTCCTGCATAACTTTATGTATTTGACTACACTCCAGATGTTGCTCATATATAATATCTTAGGAGCCAGCATTGAATTTTGACTGTCTATAACAAGTTAGCACTGTGTGTGATCTTCACTAAGGCAGACCCCTACCACATACCAGCTTAAAACTAGTCTAAGTCCTATTATTTTGTTTGAGAAGAGTGTTGCCTATTTGGGATGGGGAATGGTGAAGAATATTGTCCAAAATGTGTATGGTGTGGGATACAGTAAATATCCACAAACTCAGAAGACCTTCTTTCTGAGGTATTTTTCTCCTTTCAACCAATTGCCATAACAAATTACACTAACTGGGTGGCTGGACTTGAATTTGGGGGGTACACTGTAATCCACCCTCTGTTACTCCAAAATTCACATTCATTCCACAGGCAAAACATATTCACTTCATCCCAACAGTCTCAAGCCTTAACTCATTTCAGCAAAATCTCTCAAAGTCCAAAATCTCATCTAAACACTCATAACTCAAGAAGATCCAAATCACATCGTCTAAATCAAGTATGAGTGAGACTCCAGGTGTAATACATTTGCAGTATTTCAGCTGGCTTGACATTCTCAAGAACCGTGTCTGTTTCCCAGGTATTTCAAGGGGATGCAAACCTTTAGACACAAAGGTTCTCCACAGATCCCTCCTGTGCGATGTCATCTCTACTTCTGGCTTCTGCTGATGATTTATTGTGTTCATAAGTCACATACCTCGTATCTCCAGCAACAGACTGTCCTCCTCATCCTTGGCATTCTCTCCAGAGTATGATTTAGCATCTTTTGAGATAAGAATAGGCTGATAATTTTCCAAAATATCAAATTCTAGTTGTTTTGCTTTACAGTTTCTTCTTTGATTTATTTATTTCTTCTCACATTGTATGATGACAGAGAAAGAGAAACCAGGCTGCACCTTCAATACTTGGCAAGGAAATATCCTCAGCTAAATATTGTTTCATTGCTTATAAGCTCTGCTTTCTGCCACAATTCAGCCAATTTTTTTTGCCTCTTTATAACATAGATTGCCTTTTTTACAGTGTCAAATAACATGTTCTTCCTTTCCTTCTGAGAACTCAAGAGAAGTACCTTTTATGTCTATATTTTTACCAATAGTCCTAAACTTTTTCTATCATAAGCCTCAATAGTTTCAGTCTCTATTACCCAATTTCAAAGAAACTTCCACATTTCAAAATACTTGATAAAGAAGCACCCACTTTCTTTTTTGTACCAAAAAACAACTGATCTTTTTATTTTTTCTATTTTTTATTAAAGTATAGTCAGTTTACCATGTTGTGTTAATTTCTAGTGTACACCATAGGGATTCAGTTTTACATACATATGTGTATATATATACACACACACACACACACACATAAATATATATATATTCCTTTTTATATTCTTTTTCATTATAGGCTGTTACAAGGTTTTGAATATAGTTCCTTGAGCTGTCCAGTGGGACCCTGCTGTTTATCTATTTGAAATATAGTAGTTAGTATCTGTAAACTCCAAACTCTCAGTTTGTTCCTCCACTGCCCTACTTTCCCCCTGGTAACCATAAGTTTGTTTTCTATGTCTGTGAGTCTGTTTCTGTTTAGTAAATAAATTCATTTGTGTCCTTTTTTTTTTAGGTTCTGCATATAAGTGATATCGTAGGGTATTTTTTTCTTTCTCTTTCTGGATTACTTCACTTAGTATGACAATCTCAAGATCCATCCATGTTACTGCAAATGGCATTATTTCATTCTTTTTTATGGCTTTTTATGAGTAGTTTTCCATTATATATACATATAATGTAAATATATACCACAACTTCTTTATCCAACCATCTGTTGATGGACATTTAGGTGGCCTCCATGTCTTGGCTATTGTAAACAAAAGAAGCAACCCACTTCTAAGTACCAAACCCTGTAGGAGTTTTCTAGGGCTGCCATAATAGCATATCATAAGCTGGGTGGTCGAAAACAACAAAAATTTATTCTCTCATAGTTCTATGAGATAGAGGTCTGAAATCCATGTGTCAGAAAGCCAATGCTCCCTTTGAAGACCCTAGGGAAGAACCTTTCCTTCCCTTTCCAACTTCTAGTAATCCCAAGTGTTCTCTGGCTTGCGGTAACATAACTCCAAGTTCTGCCTACCTCCACCTTATAAAGAACTTGTTCTGTGTATGCCTGTGTCCTCTCATCTTCTTATAAGGACACCAGTCATTGGATTTAGGTTTCACCCTAACTTTAGTATGATATCATCTCAAGATCCTTAACTAATTACATCTGCAAAAATCCTTCTTCCAAATAAAATGACATTTTAAAGCTGCAGCTGAGTGAGGTTCCAGCTGGATGAGGGGGAAGGGAGAGAGAAACTAGTCAAAACACTATACCTTCTTTCCATAAGGTGAGAAATAGCAAATAAAGTCAAAAGCTGTTGCATTTGCCATTAAAATGCACCCTTTCAATGTTTTTTTTTTTCCTATTTTAATCCAATATACACAGTACTACTTTCAACACACCTGCATGGACAGATAACTGGCAAGCTTCTGTAGAGGGAGAGGCTAGAAAGTCTCCAGAAATCCTAGCTTCTTTGGATTTGGTCTGTTCCTAATGGTGTTGAGTGATTTTTAAGCATTAAGAGGTTCATAAATATAAGACACACTCAAGTATAAGTATGTTTCTATTCCAAGTCAACCTCCTTTTTTTCCTGTTAGCGATATACCTTTGTCTCCAATACTAATAAAAAATTACTTAAAATTATTATTACAAAGTTTGAGAATATTTTGACTGAGGCCGGAAAACATGAGGTTTATTTCAAACCAGAAAAGAGTCTCGAATTTTTCCAATTGTAAAATAAGTCCTTCACCACTTGTCAGAAATTAAAACAAACACATACACAACACAGACACATATACTTTCTTCTAAGTTCTATAAGGAAGGTTGCCAAACAAATATGAGACTCTCCAAGTGAATTCCAAATGAGTGGCTTACAAAGGAAGAAATTATTTTATAAAGCTGGAAAGAATGCTAGAAAAGTTCAGTTCCAACTGTCCAACCATATAGTTTACAGTTGAAGAAAATGAGGACAAAGATACTGAATTTCCCCAAGTCACATAGCTCATTAGTGACAAGGCTGGCATTGTAAATCCTTGGTTTTACAGACTAAGTCTGCTGATCTCTCTCATCTGCAGACCAAGCCCTTCGCTTGCTACTGATAGTGTCTCATAAAAATGACAAAGACTTGAGCTTTCTCTGCTTCTCTGCAGTGTTCCTGCTGAGTCCTGTGACTCACATGCTGATCTGCCTTTCTCCCTGGAAGCCTCACCCGTGTGGTGAAGACCCTGCACAGCAGGAGCTGATGCCGAGGATCAGACCCATCTATTAGAAAGATATGTAGACAGGAGTAATCAACTCACTTCTTTGCCAATGAAAACCAAACCATTATTTTTAAGTCCAATATTATAAGACTGTCTAATTATATATAAGAAGGGCAGAGGGCATTAATAATGTCAGTTTTAATACACTGTTTTAAGGGTCAAATGAGTCAGCATAGCGAAATTGTCTGACATGTAGTAGGAAATCAGGGAATATTAATCCCCTCTTTACTATTCAACAGATGGATACAGACCAAAGAATTGAAATAACATCAGATAAACATAAACTAAGGGGTCAGAACTATTGACAATATTTAGACAAAAGAGAAATTCAAGACATAACACTGACAGTTTCTCAGATGTGTCCAGTTTGTTGCATCGAGTGCATAAATAATTTGATAGTCGTTGAATTTTAGGGCTGGAATAAAGCTTAGTAGGTACTTAATCTGAATCAGGACTTTTCATCCTCAGCACTATTGAAATTTTGGTCCAGACCATTTTTTTTTTTTTTTGCTTGGCAGGGAGAGGGATTGTCCTGTCCACTGTAAGTTGTTCAGCAGCATTTCTGACCTCCACTCACTGGATGTCACTAACACTCCCAAGCCCCAAGCTGTGATGACAGAAACGCGGCCAAATGTACCTTGAAGGCAAAACTGCCCCCAGTTGAGAACCACATGCCTGAACCATCATTTAATTTATGAGAATTAGAAATATCAAGAATTTGGCTGGTGTCCTCTAAATAATCTATCAACTACAGTGAAGTGGATAAGAAATTACAATGACTTAGGGAATCATGTGGCTTTAGTTTGGGTTTTTCCTCTGCCTCTTTCTCTGAGTGTGACTTAGAATAATTCACTTACCTGCTATTGTCTCAATTCTCTCATTTAAAATAGGAAAAATATACTTCACCTGCCTTCACCATTGGATTCTGGGTGGATAAAATAGGATAGTGTTTTTAAAGGTTTGGAGGCAACCCACCTCCACACACAGGTGCCTGTGCACACAGATACACCTGTGTATTATTATCATCACTAATCTCAAATAGGAGCCAGATCTTAAGCCCAGTTGCCTTCGTGCATAATTTGATCCACTGAAGCAACACTTAGAGCTGCCTATAAAGCAGTATTATCAAGATATGTTTTAGCTACCACCTCCGTAAGAATAGTGTGGCAATGCTTGCTAAAATGCAGATACTCAGGCCCATTCCCAGTTAATTTAATTTAAAAGTCTGGAGAAGACCTTTGAATTGGCATGGTGAAAGGATAACTTGGATGACTCTGCAGTTCTCTTGTTATTTTGGAATCACTGACAGGCCAATTGTTTTCAGGCATTTTCAAAATAGCTTCTGTGATTTCCAAGTGTTATTATTCCCCAGTTTATTGTTTTCCAAGCATCTTTTATTTGCCAAAAATATCTATTGACATACAGTTTTTACTAAGTCACTCCCTGCTAAATTTCCCTCAGTGAGACTTCTCTCTGGTATAACATGCCAACACTCTAGCATGATAAATTATCCTTCTATGATCTGTTCCCTTCTATGATCTGTTCCCTTTTCTAAACTGATCAACTACATCTCCTATATCTTTTTTTGTTTTCATGTACCTCTCCCTTCCTGACTTTATCCTACCTTTCATAAATCACCCCTCCTGACATGCACACCCCAGATCTCACATTTGAGGCTCCTACAGTAGTAAACTTTCTGTAACTCCCAAACACAGGTCATTCTCACAAACACTGTGCTTTGCAAATGTTTGTACTCCACTATACACAACGTGAAAGCCTATCTAACTTTCTATCTCATGAAGCACTCTGCAGCTAGATGCTCTTACCTAACTTCTAAAGTAACTCTATACACATTCCCCAGTACTCCTGCTCTTTTTAAATTCATCAAGTATTGGTAGTAGCATGGTGTGTGTGTGTGTGTGTGTGTGTGCACGCGTGCGTGCGTGTCTCCATGGACCACAGGACCACAGGGTTCACTGATGCAGGAAACAGTACATTTCCATTCGATTATTTTGTATACAGCACCATAGATGGCACATAGTGAAGATTAATAAACACTTGTTGGAAAAACAAATGGTGCTGTGAGTAATACAAATACAACTGAGATAAAATAGTAGCTCAAAAAACTTGCAAAGTAGTGAGTGAGATGATTATAACTGTAAATAAATATGAAATAGAATGTAATGAGTACGCCACCATCTTAATGGTACAATATTACGGGAGCACAGAAACCTTTATTCATTTCTATGTCCAACTAGATCCAAAAGAGTTCTTTTGTAAAGTGATTGATTATAGTATCTCATTAATTCATGCATAGCTGTTTTCTGAAGAGAACATGGTGTTAATCAACTGTCATTATAATATATTTTTAAAATATTGATTTCAGGATTATCTCAGCCACAGGAATGGCCTTTTCCAAAAAGAATTATTTTCCTACTTCTTTCACCACTAATATCTACTTCATATTGTGATAATATTGTCTCCTTGGTATAATGGTCTGCATTATTCTTATTCCAAACTTTAGCCTCTCCTGCCTAAATACTACATAATCACACCAGAACTAATCTCATGTTTCCCATAAAGCAGAGGCACTATGTAAATCTGATTTTCTTCTGAGGTCCCTGCAACTTTTAATTAACAAGATTTACTTATCACCTACTCTCTATTGAACAGTGAGTGGATATAAAAGTAATTAAAGAGATAGCTTTTGAACAATTTGAGTATATACTTAAGCACAAGAGCTTCAAATAAAAGAAAATTACCTCCAGACTGATGTGGTTAATATCTCTAATTCTTTCCAATTTGGATGTTTTCAATTCTTGTGAAAGTTTCCTTTTTTTGTCTCTTATTCAGTCAAACCAACAGTTTCCAATGTAATCGTACTGTCATCTCTTTTTTTTTTAACATTTTTTATTGATTTATAATCATTTTACAGTGTTGTGTCAAATTCCAGTGTTCAGCACAATTTTTCAGTCATTCATGGACATATACACACTCATTGTCACATTTTTTTCTCTGTGATTTATCATAACATTTTGTGTATATTTCCCTGTGCTATACAGTGTAATCTTGTTTATCTATTCTACAATTTTGAAATCCCAGTCTATCCCTTCCCACCCTCTACCCCCCTGGTAA